ATATTGTCTTGTATTTAATTCAACGGATTGAATTAAAAGTTTATCGTTTAAGTTTACAGATACCAAGCCAACAGTGTTAAACAAATCTGTTGCACTTTCTCTTTTTTCCTCTTGAGGAAGATAGCGCCGTTGTTTGACGAAGACGGTAGTGAGAATATGACCTAGAATCATCGCCCTTTATAACCATTAAAATCATTAAAATAAATTAATTTGTACTAAAACTAAACTCATACACATATTATATTTACATTATTACTTTCAAGAGACGCTGAGCAACGATTCGGACTACTTGAGACATATCTACATCGTCATTAATTAAACCTAACCTCTTGTAGAATGCATAATGGGCATCCATTTTATCAACGTGTTCATAGTAATCAACTAATAAATTTATATAACTATGAATGGACCACTTTTCATATGGAACAATATTAAAGTACATTGTATAAGGAATATTGAGACAGATGCCGAATGGACACGAATACTGCAGGATTCAAATGAAATGGTGAAAAAAAAAAGTAAAAAAGTTGAAAATAGTTGAAACATCAATTTAAAAAAAGAAAATCTGTAAAAATTTTAAAAGTAGTTGTAAAAATTTAAAAGTTAAAAAAATTTGAAGTATAATATTTACCTTTCGATATTTTGTATCGTTCAAGAATAGAAGTAAACTTGCTCGAGTCACAAATTAATGTGATTTTAATAGCTTGCTTACTGTATTTTTCAATTTTTCATAATTTGATATACTTAAGCAAGAGGAGTTACTAAAGGAAACATTCCAAAATCTCCAAATTTAAAGACTATTTTGCACTTACAAAATGAAGCCCCAAGCGATACAACGGCCGAAACCAATTGTAAGTCATTACGCCTGGCAGCAGTGATCGAGAGTAAACGAGGACTATCAGTATGGAATATTTCATTGAATGATCACCCACCCGGAAGGGCAAAAGATGGAATAAAGAAAGGTTTAATAAAAAAAAATTTTTCGTGAGAATTCTTTAAACATTTATTGACGAGTTTAAACCAGTTCTATTTATACAAGCACAAATTTGGTCTAAT